TGAGACTGCTATGGCATTATGAATAAACATGCATAGTTTATATCCTTGTAGTTGAGTGATAATTTGCATGCATAGCCTATAATAAATAACTATAATTTTGCTCATGGAAAATAATTTATTTTTCTTAGCCTAGCTGGGACCCACTTTAATTTTATAATAGAAATAGAAATGTGTGGAGAAATTATGTACTCAGTTATTAGTGTATTACGCATTAATATACATCAGATTTTTTTTCACAGTTTAATAGCGCTACATACAACTTTTACTTGAATTTTATCCATTTAACTTTGTAATCTTCTTTTGTTTTTCTTTTTAAAAACTCCATTTTTAAAAAACTTGACAGTTAAAAACAGTAAATTAAACTAAAAAGAAAGCTGAAAGCATAGGTTTTGACTATGCCACTGTAGGCTGTGATTTCTATAGATCTTTCATAAGTTAGGCCCTGTTGAGGATGTAACACCTTCAGGAGTCATCTCGTGGTACAGGAAGTGGTGTTGATAGCAATTCAGTAAGTGGCAGTCTTTCATCTGAAGTGAAGAAACAGTGTGTGATGATTTGAGGAAAATGTACATGTACAGTTATGAATTCTGATTGATTTTATGAAATGGATGTATTACTGGATCCCTCTTCATAGGTGGAATCCACCATGTGGTGGTCAGGGCTGTCCTGTATCTCCCAGACTACAGACTTTAAACCTTGATAGTCTCCAGAACTTTTTGGTCGAGCCATTCGCATGGAGGGACCTTAGTACAATGCATTGACTGAAGCTTGGAAAGCCAGTTTTCTTTAATTGAAAGAAGTGAGAAAAAGCATAACAAAATGATTGGGTCTTAGAATTAGGCCTTAAAACCTAAAGCACCTGGCAGACTCAGGTGGTATACTTTAGTAGGGAGAGGGGGTGTCTATGCCAAAAGCACATGCAAAAAAGTCAAATCAAGCTACCTGGAGGAGAGAGAGATTAAATAGATTCCCAGATTCAGAAGAGAATCTGGAGAGGGGAATCGGAAACCTGAAAAGATGCTGACCTAGTTCCTGGATAACATGCCCAAGTGATGATTAGGGAATTGGGTATTTTTTCCCCTTTTTTCCCCTGGACTTGTACATTTCCTGTTCTGTCCAAAGCGCACAGATGTTGAATTTGGAACCATCTGCATGGTTTATGTCTTTGAAGAAATGAACTGTAAACCAGAATGCCAACAAGATGGAACTCTGGAAAAGGGAATGCTAAACTGAAAAGTCAGCATTAATTTCATGTTCTTGCCAGTCAGATCATAGTGTCTTGATAGGTGGCATGAGAAAGAAGATTTGTACTTTCAAAATGTATCAAGAGATTCAAACCCAGGGGTAGTAGTTGAGCCCTGCTTACTCTCAGAAAATGATGTAATTGGAAAAAAATTCACTAGGTTGCAACATAGTGGTAGGAACTAAACTGTTCCTGAGCATTTGCAATCATTAAAAATGCACACTATTTTTCAACAGAGTTTGAAAGTTAATTTTAGGTTATGCCACAACTGGTTAACTGTATTCTCTTTAAATAAAATAAGTTTTAGCTTTGACACCATGTAATATTTTTGTTTGCTTGTCAAATATATAGGCAGCAGATTTGTTCATAAAGAGTAACTCCAATGAGGGACTTAGTAAACCTATCTGCACAACTTCTTGAAAGGAATTTTACCACCTAACAAACTGATTTTTTTCCCCCAGCTGCTTACTATTATCCAAATAGGAAGACCAAGAAAAGGGCTGGTTCCTTATTGAACACAAAGGCAATCTAGTAACAGAGAACACAGAGAAGACTGAAGTATTTAATGCCTCTTTTGCTTCAGTCTTCTTAAATAAGGTCAGCTGTCGGCTGAGGAGGGAATTTAGCAGCAAGGAGAGGCGAAGAGATTAGCTACCTAGAATGACAGAATATGTTAGGGATTACTTAAAGGAAGAAGTACATGCTCTCAAGTCAGCAGGGCCAGACAGAATGCATCCTAGACTACTCATGGAAGTCAGGTGAGGTCCCAAATGATGGGAAAAGAGCAAACACAGCACCCATCTTTAGGAAAGGGAAGGAGAAGGATCTAGAGAATTACAGGATAGTCAGTCTGATTTTGATACCTGGAAAGACCATGGAGCAGGTTATTAAGCAATCTATTCCTAAGCACCTGGAGAAGAACATGATGATCAGGAACAGGCAGCATAGCTTCATCAAGAGCAAGTCATGCCTGACCAATTTAATTTCTTTCTATGACAAGGTGACAGGCTCTGTTGATGGAGGGGGAGCAGTGGATATGATATACCTTGATTCAGGCAAGATTTTTTATACTGTCTCCCATAACATTCTCATTAGTAAAATACAGAAATACAGTTAGAGGAAAGTATACATAACTGGTTGGAACATTGTGCTCAGCATCAAAAAGGAGAGTTGTATCATGTGAGGTTCTCAAGACCCTGGTATGGTTTAATATAGAAGTGGGCAAAATATGGCCCACAGGCTGTATCTGACCCACTGAGGGATTTTCTGGCCTGCAGCAGGTCCTTCGGTCCCACCTGGCCAAGTGCAAGGGGCAGCCTGGGCCATGGCTTGCATGGCTGATCCTGCCACCCCTGGGTGCACAGCTGGGCTGGGGCTGGGGCAGTGTGATGGCAAGAATATTTTCTGGGAACAGTGGCTCCTTCTGGCTGCTGCTGCTGGACCCACTGCGGGGGCAGGACTCATGTGGGCAGGGTGCTAAGCTGGGTGGCTGGGATGAGGCTGCAGGCTGGCAGAGAGTGATGTCCAGGAGTGAGATGGGAATCCAGGGCTGGGGAGACCCCGGGATCTTGGAGCGGTGACAGTGCAGGACAGTGCAGTGTACGATCTGCTGCTTGCAAGCCCTATGATGGGCACAGGTTCTGTGGCCAGGAGCATGCAGGGAGCAGATCACGATTCTGTTGTGGATCCGGTCCTGGCACTGGCCCCAGCCCTACACTCTCACTGCTCCAAGATCCTGGCCCTGGCTCCAGATACTCCACCCACCTGGCCAAGCACCCTACCCTTGTGGCGCCTGCCTGGTCTCCATGGAGACCCTGGGATTGTGTGGTGGGGACAGAGCCCCTGTTCTGCTGGCAGGGACATGGGGGCAGCACATTGCAGCTCTTCCCCAGCCCTGTGCTCTCACTACCCTGTGACCATGGGGTCTCCATGGAGATCAGCTGGGAGCTGCGCAGGCAGGGCATGTAATGCATCCAGGTGGATGGGATGAGGCTGCCTGAGGCCAGGGCTGGGGTCCTGGGTTGGTGACAGTGTGGGTCTGGGGCCAGGTCAGAGCCACAATCTGCTCCCTACACACCTCTGCCTGTGGAACTAACACCTGTTGCAGGGACGTGCTGGGTCTGCTCCAGCCCTAGCCCCACGCTGTCACTGCTCCGCCACCCCATCCAGTGATCCTGGCCTCATCTGCCCATCCCACTCCTAAACACTGCACCCTGCCCACCCATGGCCCCATCCCACATAGGGAGTTTTGGTGAATTGTTGCACGGGGAGCAGGGTGCTGAGCTAGCCCATGACAGCTCAGCAAAACTCCCTATGTGGCCTGTGGGTCCACATACTTGCCCATGCCTGGTTTAATATCTTTGCTAATGATTTAGGGAATGGAACTGAGACCACACTTAGACAAGTTGTAGATGACTCCAATCTGGGTGGATTTTCACACACCCTGGAAGTTTCAGACTCTCTGGATTAGCATTCAAAATGACCTTGATAACCTGGATAAATGTTCTGAAATTAATAAAATAAAATTAAACAAGGACAAGTGCATGGGCTGGGATTGGGGCTGTGTGCACGGGTCCCTGCCAGTCTCCATGAGCTGGGGCTGGGGGCAGCAACTGAAAGAAGCAGCCTCAGCCCCACTGCATACCCTGGGGTAGCTGGATGTGTGCCATGGCCTGGATAGCACCTGGGCCAGGCAGGACCAAGGAACTTGCCACAGGCCGGTCACAGTCCCTCTGTGGGCTGGATCTGGCCCTCAGGCTGTATCTTGCCCACCCCAGGATTAAGTGATCTCTGAGGTCATTTTCAGCCTTACTTTTCTATGAGTCTATATAGGCAATTAAACTTAATGTGCAAGTTGCTCTGTAGTATTATATTCTTTAATACCAATGTGAAAATTTTGGACCTCAATAAGTACTTCTATTATCTGGGCCAGTCACTTGGTAGCTAGGCCAAGTATCAGTTTTCAGTACAATGTCTCTTTTCAAACACTGATATCTTGGAGTCCATGTTCACAAATGAGAATAAATGACATGTAGGAAACTCTAGTAAATGATGATTAAAATGATCAGATGAGATCAAGGTGCTGACATTATACAAACTTTTAAAACAATTTAAGGATTATTTTTACTCTCTTCATCTCATGAGGAATTGTTTAATATCAGGCAGATTCTAATCTTATGGGGCTGCAATGATGAGAAAATGATTCAGGAGCTGTACAGTAAGATAAGATACATGTGGAGGTTCTGAGGGTGTACAATGTATGTAATCTAGAAAAGAACAGACATGGGGAACCATGATTACAGTTTATCCATATCTTAAAGGTAGCAACTAAAATGGGAGATAAAAAAATATCCAGAGTTCCAATGATTAGATTGATAAGGAGAAATGGCCTGAATGAAAATAAATAATTCTTAAGAGTAAGGAAAACTGGGGAACAGGTTAGATTACAAGATAACTCACCGTGACTGTAAATATTCAAAAACATGATGGACAACATTAGCAGGAATTAAGTACAGATACATTCTGCAAAATACAGCTAAGTTAGACTAGTTTCAAGTTGCTTTTTCTGTTTGCACTTTACACAACAAAGACCTGGGGGATACAAACTCAGAGAGCATTTTCTAAGCATAATATTAAGGAAGAAGGGATATATAAGAATCCATTGCTGAGTAACAAGGCAGGCTTCAAAACATGAAGTAGTGAAGACGCTTTCTATTCTACCATAACATCACCTGTCTTTGTTACCTTTATTTCTTAGGGAAGCCCAACTTTTTGTTGAAAAATTTGAGGGTGCTCTTGGAAAAGGAAAAGGAAAAAAATTTTATGCATACAAAGTAATGATGATGAAGGTAAGGATTTTATTTAATTCATTTTGTATAATGTACAACAGTAGATTAGTACAACAGATTATGACTGTAGCTACATTCTTATAGTTACTGTCCAGTTTTTCACGTGCATTTTTAGTTCTTTTGTGCCAAACTATCCCTGGATGGAATTTTTTACTCAAAACCATACCTTCTGATTGGGATTTATCATCTGTGAATATTTCCAAAAGAGTTAGATTCTCATGTTATGAAAATTGGCTTCACCCATCTTGGGCCTGTTCTAAAACTACTGACTTCAGTGGGCTTTGGATCCATCTCATTGAAAAGACTTAGAACAGGCCTTTTTCCCTGTCAACTGGAGTTGCACGTATCGGACAGGCAGTGATTCTTACCCCCTTATACATAGATTCTCTTTGGGCTCTTCAGTAGAAAGACTATTTAAAAATAAGTATTCCCTCCTACTTAGACTTCATATTCCTTAGATGTGTACATTCATGTTTTATTAGGATTATTTTTCCTAGAGTATGCACATTAAAATATGCATGTAAATCATGTCTATAAGAGTTATAGTTATTCAATCCAGTAAAAAAGATTAAGACCAGTCAAACCAATTTGCAGTGAAGCTACAGAGCTTGAATTCCACTTCTGGAATTTTGAACAACACAGCCACTTCTACACAAGCAGTGGACTGCACAGTTGTTACTGCGCAGCCATTTGGTACTTGCTTATGCATATCCATGAGCAAGTAGCAAATGACTGTGCAGGAACCAACGTTACTGTGCTGTACCATCACTGCACAGTTTTTTTCCTATGCTACTGCGCAGTAGCAACAAGCTACTGCACAGTATCATCGCCACATGGTTAGCGCCTGGCAATGCTACTGTGGGGTAGTAATGAGCAACTGCGTAGTAGCTCATTGCTGCTATGAAGTAGCATCTTGTGTAGATATGCCCAACATGTAGCAAACTGAATTGTCAGAAACAATTCCGAAATAATGTTTAAGAAAAATACCAGTTTGTGGACACATTCTACAAATAAAAACAATGGTAAATTTTACAAGATGATTTAAGAAAATGAGTTTTTCAATGTTGTGCTGGCTGTCAGAAGAGTGGTGGGGGATGTACATGAGATCACCAAAAACACTGCAACTTATGTTATTGTTCTTTTCAGAAATGGCTGAAATTTCAACGAGATTTTGAGAATTTTAAAACTGCCTGCATACCATGGGAATTTAAAATCAAGGAGATTGAAAGTAAGTTATCATGGAAAATAGTAAAATTAGCTATTCACAGTTGTACCAAGAAGATCTCACAGATTTCTAAGATGGCTTTCCATTATTCCTTGAAGGAAAAATGGACTCTTTTTTGCAATTGTTAATGAATAAAAAAGATTTCTATTGTGGTTATAGAACACTGATACTAACTTTGTGAATCATTGCGAAGGCCACAGCAACTTTCTAAAAACGTTCCTTCCTTTAAGAGAATTCAGGAGCATCTACTTGTTCCATTAATGTGCAGCAATAAATTGTGGAAATTATTGCTCTGCAGTTTATTGCTCTCAGGAAGCTCCTGGGCATGTGATTTACATGTGCACCTGGACTGCGGCACATTAAGCTGGGTCGAAGCAGTTCTGGCTGGCAAGGGTCCCTGGGGGTCAGCCTACCAGCCTGGGGCTGCTCTGACCAGGCTTAATGTGCTGTGGAGGTGCTGGCTGGGGCAAAGGTACTTTAGCATAGGGCTAGTCAGCAGGCAGCCCCCCACCCTGAAGCACCCGTATGCCCCAGCCAGCTGGTCAGCATCTACACATGTGCTGTTGCACACAAAAAATTGCTATGGAACTTATTAGTTTAGAGTGCCCCAATAGGGGCATATGTGTAAATGCTGCACAGTTAATTAGTTAACTGCACAGTAAATGTCTCATTTAGATGTGCCTGTCATGTCTTTTGCAACAGAGAAAAAGGTACACAGAAAAAGTAAAAAGGCAATGAACATAATGGAAATGAAAACTGTTACCAGATTTGCTCATCACTTTGGGGTGTGTTCATTTATTAGGGGTATGTTTGTGGGGGTCTCTGTAATTCTATCAATGTGCTGCTTGTGTTACTTGTGTTTCTATATGGAGCTGTATCTCCCCCTTCTGCAAGTCTTCACCCACAATGGAGCTATCTTGCAGGACTCAGTTTCAATGGGGCTGGGTTCTTCCAACCACCAAATCAGTCAAACACATGTACGCACATACACAGACAGATCAACAGGACATGCCTGAGCCAGGTCAGGTTATTTAGCATTGACAGGCTAACACACTCATATGCCTTGAACTCAGTTCATCAGGGCAGCAATAAATGCAGTCAGACACAAGCAGATGGGTTAACAGAGCACATCTGAGTCAGGCCAGACTATTCAGCAGCCCTCCCTCCCCCCTCTCCCATACCTCCCATGGCTGCCCCCTCTGCCTCAGCTCCCAGCGTTTAAAGAAAAGCCACGGTGCTCATCGGGTGCTGCTGGCTTGGGGGCGATCCCCACTGCATATCACTGCTCCACACTGCATGGGGGTCTCTGCATGAATCCGCTGACCTCCCCGCTACCCCAACTCCCCCCACAGCTGCCCCGCACAGGCCAGCTATGGCAATTTAAGCAGAGAAAAGCCCTGGGCCTCACCGCTCCTGCAGCTGCCTCAGGGCTTCAGGGGGCTTGTGCAGAGCCCCCCATTTGGAGATTCAGAGATTTGGCAGCAGCCAAATCTCCAAATCAGATTTGCCCAAATCGATTTGGGACAGTGATTTAAATCACTGAATCGAATCACTGTCCCCCGAATCAGCCGAATCTGAATCCGAAGCAAATACTAGCCACTTCACACAGGCCTAATTGCAACTGCTCCCCCAGTGTCAAATTTCCTGACCCAGGGGAGGCCAGATGCGATGGGTCCATGGGCTGTATTTGCCCTGTAGGCTGGAGGTTGTATACCCCTGATATACACAAGTGCACCTGTTTCTCTGGCAGCCTATATCCAAACTGTGATTTCTTTTACTTTGGCTCTTATTTTAAAGGAAAACTCAAAAGTATCGTAACTAGTATTGTGGTCAGTATATCTTAATTAAAAGCATTTGATAAAGTGAACTCTTGCTTACAGAAGCTTATGCATCTCTGATTCAGTCAGTCTATAAGGTTAATTTCTACCTTACCTTCTGTGAAGTGTTAGTCACATTACAAGAAAATAATAGAGGCCTATAATGAGTTAAAACTTTTTAATAACATGATGTTAAATGCGGCTCTGGAATAGTGATGTTGGGACTTACTTATAGGCTGGCTTTATCTATTTATTTCAGTTTTAATTTATGAAACAAGATTCTGTGATTGATATTCAGTGCTACGAGCACTGTTGCAGATGGGTGCTTTATATATAGAATGCTTATTATTCATTATTTGCATGTAACAATAAAGACAAAAAAGTCTTATTATAGTGCCATCATTATAGTGCTACCTGTCTTCAGTGAATATGGCTTTGGAATACACAGTGAATAGTGTCTAGGGTAACAACAAGAAAGATTCTGAGTTTTTGCTAAGTTGCATCTTGTGTTGCAGACTAACCCTAGACAAGAAGGAACCAGGCCAGAAAGAAAGCATATCTCACCTACATAATACCTTGAAACACCTGGCCAGCAGAGAACAAAGCAAGTTATACAATCTTTGGGGGTATTTATTAGCATGCAGATGAGGCTGTTGAATAAATGTAGTCAAATCAAATGATGAAACAGAGGGTTCTTTTGCTGGGCTATCATATCAATGATACTTCGGTTACATCTTGTAAATAAATGGTCCTGGCCAATATTGTTATGGCTTACAGACTAACTAAATCAGAGGTGTATAGCATTTTGTTAGTCTATAAATTCCAAATTTACCCTGCCTTCTACCGGACTACAGACAAACATGGCTAATTACTTCTCTATGTTGTTGCGCCATTAATAATCACATCTATTTCATACTATATTAGTGGCATACAAATGTAAAGTTAGATTGGGATAATTTACTTATTCTGTTTCTGTATCTGTTTATTTTTCTCCTCCAGCACTTTTGTCTCCTTCTGACACCTGACTACCTGAAGATCTCAGTATAAATGTCATCTTTTAGTGACCCTCTAGAAGCAGGATTTTGAAATTTAGGTTTATTTTGCTATAGTACAGTCTGTGTACTTTGCCGACTGCTGAGAACGTTGGCAATGGTGTGTGGATGCTGAAATAATTTTGTTTTACTGTGGTCAGACATGTATGTCTGTGAATATAAATAGTAGCTGGACTGGTTGGTGGTCCCAACTTACTCCATCAGGATACAGTAACCCACAGGTTAAAATAAATCAATACTAACTTTCAGGTTTTTGAAGGAGTGGTCAAAATTTAAACTCTGGAACAAATATCAGGACTTTATTTCAAGGAAGGGAACTGTACTGAAGAATAGTAAAATGTAGAGAAGGTCATTACATGCCTCAGATCCTGCCATCCCATGTCCAGAGAACCACAATAATGTCTGTGAGCTGCATGTTAACTGTTCGTGGGTTGTCAGTTGGAGCTCCCTGACATCGAAGGCTGCAAGACAATGTTACAGGTGCTTCAGTTTTTCTAGCAGTTTAGTTTCTCATCTAGATTCTGTGTGTATTTCACTACTTATTCAGGCTTGAGTTCTGTACTGTCAGAAACATACTAGATATATTTTCATTTAGCAAGGTTTTTAATAAGACAAAAATGCCAACATCTTCCACAAATTTAAGATCAGAATAACTTGAAGAATCAAGTCTGAAGCCCCCTGTAAATGAGTTACTTGTGAGCTACAAGTTCAGCCATCCGGCCAGATATTCTAGGCATGCCTTCTTCCACATACTCACACCTGATCCAAGCTAATTTGCATGAATTGAATGCACTGATCTGAACCTAATATGTTTTCTTTATGCTGGGAGGTCTGGGACTGGCACAACAGAGGCATCTATTCAGTGGAAAGGAGTGTTGCCTAGAGGGTTAGAGCACTGGACTGGGTCTCTGTTGGCAGCATCATCATTAGCCATCTGGGTGACCCTGAATAAGTCATTTTACCTCATTGGGTGTGTCTACACATGACGCTATGTTGCAGTAGCAATGCACTTTGGCAATGTAGGATATGTGGGCAAAAACCATGATGCCACAGCTATGTCACTGTAGCAATGCATTCCCTCATTATAGCATGTTGCTATGCTGACGTAGCAGCTAGAAATAATCATGTGCTGTGCGTACAGCGCAGTATGGGCTGTAACTGTGCTGTTATTTCAAAAGGAAGTGCTATATGACGATGCAGTAACAACATTGCCGTAGGGTCATGCGTAGACACACCCACTGTTCTTCAGTTTGCCTGACTGAGCAATAGAGATAATGATATAGCTTTTTTATTGAAGCACTTGCTGAAAAGTGATGCATACATATATTAGGCTGGTGGAAATTCCTCCTGCACAGGGAAGAAGACCTGTTGACCTGTAGACAAGGACTGTTGTGTTTAGTATTGTGTGAGAACAAGATGACTGATTCTGGAGGAGACCCTAAAAGTTAAAAAAGGGTAGAAAGGAAGGAGTGGGATCCAGGCTCAGTTGTAATTAGATGATATAATGTTAAAACAAAGATAATATTCTTATTTATGGTTAGTTCAAAGCCACATCTGTCACTGCTAGTTAGCCGTCTACTAGCTGAAGTCACGTGATATACTAATGCACAGGGATGAATTATGCTGGTGTCCTGGTGACTAAAATTATCAGTGAATTCTGTTTGTATGACCACTTGTTCTCCAGGCCAAGTAACATTGAAGACTAAGCAGTAAATATCACTAGAATTAGTGAGTTTGGCAGCATGCTTTTAACCACTTCTGCAGATGAGCCTTTTGCTGTTGATATTAGTGTGTTGGGCCATCTGTATAATTGGCATTTGGTCCATTTGGAATATGGCAATGGCTCCTTCCTTTCCCCCCTGCCCACTCTGAGGTAAGAGAGAATTATGAATTCAGTTGAATTAAAATGGAAATACTGTAGTACTGTTCCTCTATTATCCAGCACTTTTTACTTCTAGGTCAATCAAATTTCATAATTTATAATTTTTCTTAGAATATTATTATACATAGGCTGCAAAGTATGAAAAGATGATACAATATCACAGGCATGCTCAACCTCTGGCCCATGGGGCAAATGCAGCCTGCGGAGCCCTTGCATCTGGCCCACGGGGCTCCCCAGGGGTCAGATATTTCT